TTAAGACTTTGAGCAGATTTCTCAGCAGAAACCTTAAAGACCAGAAAGGAGTGGCATGATATATTCAAAGTGCAGTAAGAAAAAAACTGCTGATCAAGAATACTCTACCCAAAAAAGCACTCATTAAGAATTGAAGGACAGATACAATTTTGCAGACAAACAAAAGCTGAAGTATTCATCATCATTAGATTGCCCTTACGAGAACTGTTAAAGGGAGTTTCTCAAGCTGAAATGAAAGAATACTAACTAGTAACGTAAAAATCTATGAAAGTATAACATTCACTGATAAAGGTAAACATGTAATTAAATTCAGAATACTCTAATATTGTAATGATAGTGGGAAATCACTTATAACTCTAATGTAGAGGTTAAAAGACAAAGGTGTTAAAAATAGCTATAACTACAATAATTTGTTAATGAATACACAATATAAAAAGGTATAAATTGTGATCAGAAATCAGAAACATAAATTGTGGGAAGGGAGTGTAAAAAGGTAGTTTCTATATACATTAGAGTTAGGATGTTATCTGCCTAAAATACACTATTATAAGATTTTTGCAAGCCTCGTGGTAACCACAAAGCAAAAACCTATAGAAGTATGCAAAAGACAGAGAAATCAAAACATAACACTATGGGAAATCATCAATGCACAAAAAAAGACAGCAGGAGAGGAAGAAAGGAACTATAAAACTGCCAGAAAACAGGATAGCAATAGTAAGCTTGTACATATCAATTCATACTTCAAATTTAATAGACTAAAATCTCTAATCAAAAAACATAGAGTGGTTGAATGAATACAAAAATAAGACCTAATTATATGCTGCCTACAAGAGAATAACTTCAGATTTAAGTATACACAGACTGAAAATGAAGGGATGGAGAAGATGTTCCATGCCAATGGAAACCAGAAGAAAGCAGGGGTAGGTATGTTTATATCAGAAAAAATAGACTGTAACTTAAAAACTGTAATAAGAGACAAAGAAGGTCAGTATATGATGACAAAGGGGTCAATTCATCAAGAGTATATAACACTTGTAAATATGCACCCAACATAGGAGCAGCTAAATTTATAAAGCAGGTATTAACAGATTTGAAGAAAGAAATACACATAAATACAATATTAGGGGACTTTAATACCCCACTTTCAATAATGGATAGATCAGCCAGACAGAAAATCAATAAAGATTGGACTTAAACTATGCTTTAGACCATATGGACCTAAACATTCTATCCAACAGCAGCAAAAAATACATTCTTCTCAAGCACAAATGGAACATTCTCCCAGAAAAATCATATATTAGGCCATAAAACCAGTCTCAGCAAATTTTAAAAGACTGAAATCATTCCAAGTAACTTTTCTGACTACAATGGCATAAAACTAGAAATAAATGACAAAAAGAAAACTGGAATACTCATAAATATGTGGTAATTTAACAACACGCTCCTGAACAACCAATGGGTCAAAGAAATGAAAAGAGAAATTAAAAAATCTTGAGACAAATGAAAATGGAAATACAACATACTAAAACTTATGGGATGCAGCAAACAATAGAAAAAAATCAATGCAACTAAGAGCTGGTTTTAGGAAGATATACAAAACTGATAAACCTTTAAACAAGACTAAGAAAAAAAGAAAAAAGACTCAATTAATAAAATCAGATTTGAAAGAGGAGACTTGACAGCTTATGACAGAGAAATCCAAAGGATCATAAGAAACTACTATGAACAATTATACATCAATAAATTGGATAATGTAGAAGAAACGTATAAATTCCTAGAAACATAAAACCTATCAAGACGGAATTCTGAAAAAATAGAAAATATGAACAGACCAATAACTAGTAGGGAGATTGAATCAGTAATCAAAAAGCTCCCAAAAAAGGAAAGTCCAGAATCAGATGGCTTCACTGGTGAATTCTACCAAATATCGAAGTGCTAATACCCATCCTTCTCAAACTCATCCAAAAAACTGAATAGGAGGGAACATGTCTGAACTCACTTTAGGAGGCCAGTATTTCCCTGATACCAAAGCCAGTAAAGGACACTACAGGGAAAGAAACTGCAGGCCAATATCCCTGATGAACATAGATGCAAAAACTCTCAACAATGTATTAGCAAACTGAATTCAACATTACATTAAAAGGACCATACACCATGATCAAGTGGGATTTACTCCAGGGATGCAAGAATGGTTCAACATACACAAATCAACCAATGTGATACAATACATTAACAAAATGAAGGATAAAAATCATATGATCATCTCAGTAGGTGCAGACAAAACATCTGACAAAATTCAACATCCTTCATGATTAAAAAATCTCAAAAAATTCAGTATAAAAGGAACATACTTTGACATAGTAAATACCATATATGACAAGCCCAGAGCTAACACCATAACTAAGATCAAGAACAAGACAAAGATGCCTGCTTTTGCTACCTTTATTCAACATAGTATTGTAAGTATGATCTAGAGCAATTAAGAAATGAAAAGAAATAAAAGGCATCCAAATTGGAAAGGAAAAAGTAAAACTGTCTCTAATTGCAGATGACATGATATATATGGAAAACCCTAAAGACTCCACCACAAAACTATTAGAATTAATAAACAAATTCAGTAAAGTTGCAGAAGGCAAAATCAACATAAAAAATCAGTTTTTATATACCAACAATGAACTATCTGAAGAAGAAATAAAAAAATCCCATTTACAATGGTATCATAAAAAAATAAAATACTTAGAGATAAATGTATCCAAGGAAGTGAAAGGTCTATACACTAAAAACTGCAAGATATTGATGAAAGAAATTGAAGAAGACACAAATAAATGGAAAGATATACCATGTTCATGGATGAGAGGAGTTAATATTATTAAAATGTTCATATTACCCAAAGCAACCTATAGATTCAATTCAATTCCTATCAAAAGGCATTTTTTACAAAAATAGAAAAAAAATTCTAAAACTCATATGAAACCACAAAGACCTCAAGCAGATGAAGGGATCCTGAGAAAGAACAATAATGCTAGAGTCATTACACTTCTTGATTTCAAATATACTACAAGTAATCAATGCACTATGGTATTGGCATAACAGACACACAGATTAATGGAACAGAAGAAAGGGCCCAAAATAAACTCATGCACATTGGTAAATTAATTTCCAACAAAGGATTCAGGAATATACAATGGGGAAAGAATAGTCTCTTCAATAAATGGTGTTGGTAAAACTGAACAGCTATACACAAAAGAATAAAACTGGACTCCTATATTACATCATACACAAAAATCAATTTAAAATTGATTAAAAACTTAAACATAAGATTTGAAACCATAAAACTCTTAGAAGAAAACATAGGGGATAATCTCCTTGTCATTAGCCTTGGCAATGTTTTTTTTGGATCTGACACCAAAAGTAAAGGCAACAAAAGCAAGCAAACAAACAAAGTGGGACTACATCAAGCTTAAAAACTTCTGCACAGCAAAGGTGAGTAAAATGAAAAGGTAACCTATGGAATGGGAGAAAATATTTGCAAACCATATATCCAATAAGAGGTTAATATCTAAAATATAAAGAACTCATACAATTCAATAGCAAAAAACCAAAAAGGCAAAACCCCAAATAAATCAATTAAAAATGAGCAAAAGGCCCAATTAGATGTTTTTTCAAAGAAGATATATAAATGGCCAACATGTACATGGAAAGATGATCAATATAAGTAATCACCAGGAAAATGCAAATCAAAACCATAATGAGATATTACCTCATGTATTATCAAAAAGAAAAGAGATAAATGCTGGTAAGGATGTGGAGAACAGGGAAACTTTGAGCAATGTTGTTGGAAAGGTAAGATGTACAGCCACTATGGAAAACAGTAGGAGATTCCTCAAGAAACTAAAACCACATGTTTTATGATGTATGATCCAGCAATCTTACTTCTGGGTATATAATCTGGGAAACAAAATCACTACCTTGAACAGATATCTGTACTCCAATGTTTACTGCAGAATTATTTACAATAGTCAAGGTACAGAAACAAACTAAATGTCCACCAACAGGTAAATGGATAAAGAAAATGTGGTGTATATATGTGTTTATATATGCATACAATAGAATATTATTCAATCTTTTAAAAAGAAGAAAATCTTGTCATTTTTGATAACATGGATAAACATGGAGGGCATTACGCTAAGTGAAATAAGCCAGACAGAGAAAAATATATTGCATGGTATCACTTATTGACCACTCCCCTGCTGAAAAAAGTAGTTGAACTTGTAGCGACAGAGTAGAATAGTGGTTGTCAGGGGCTGGAGGGGTGGGAGTAATAAAGAGAGGTTGATAAAAGGTTTTAAACTTTCAGTTACAAGATGAACAAGGTTTGAGGATCTAATGTATAACATGATGCCTATAGTTATAATTAAAATTTGCTAAGAAAGTAGAATTTAAGTGTTTTCACCAAACAAATAAACAAATGAACAAAGAAATGAACAAAAAGTATGTGAGGTGATGAATGTGTTAATTTCATGGAAGGAATCATTTCACAATGTATAATATATCAAATCATCACATTGTACACTTTAAATGTATTACAATTTTGTCAACTGTATTTCAATAAAGATAAAAAAATTTTTTTTTAATTTTATTTTCCCCTTTGTGCTAACACAGTCCTATGGAAAATCTCAAGAGAAATTTTGAGTAATCTGTTTTTCAGTGTTTCATTGCTTATTAGTTGGGTCAATATACAAAGCATTTCTCCTCCCAAGAGTTATTTACTGAGCTCACAAATAACCTGATTGAGGGAAGTGCTATGTGGATTAACTGGACAACAGTTATACCATATAACAGGAGTACATGTAAACTTCTCCTAAAAGCTTACCTTCTTTCTTAAAATTAGAAGAGCAACATTGTGCTTTCTGATTACATGGGATTAAAAAAAATTAAATATATGCATGCATACATTCCTAGTCCTTTAGCCCTACTCTTGTGTACTTCTAATTTTTTACCTCATTTCCTAGGAGGGCATTTACGCAGGCTTCTGATGCATCACAGATGGCTGTGAGATCATGTCCTCCTTCTAGAGCCAACACCACGTGTCCATCAGCCAATGTCATCAACTGCTTCGTCAAATGACCAAAGCCTATCATAATACAAACAGAACATTTCAAAGTATTAATCAGAAGAGAATATTACTAGAATTTAATATTGATTGAGCTTTTATTATGTGTGTGTCCTTTCTCAGTACCTTCCATGAGCTAATTCATTTAATACTTACAAAAACTTAATAAATTAGGTGCCATTACTATCTATATTTTACAAATGCGGGAACCAAAATCCAAGATCCCACAGCTAAGAAGTATCACAACAAAAATTTATACTAAACAATATGGCTCCTCCCCAGTGCACAGTAGTGGCTTTCACAACACATTCTATATGTACCTGGATGAAAAACTTGATAGCATTTGACAAGTGTTAATAAGGTCAATAATCTCCTTTGCTTGATTTTTGTTTCTTATCTCCATCATTTGTCTTATTATAAAAGGAAGTTTTTCGGTTTTTTTTAAGTATCACCTCAAATTACTTAACTATCACATTAGGTTTTTATAGACATCACATTAGATTTTTATAGACATAATTTTGATTATGAAATAGTTAATATAAAAAATAAATAACATCTATATATATTATAAAGTATAATGATATGAGAAACACCTGTTCACTCACTTTCCAATTTAAGGAAAATAATGTTAGCAATACTTTTGAAGCCCCTTGTGTACTTCTGTTAACATCCCTCCTCCTCTCTGTGGGAAATTAGGATCTTTGTGTTGATAATTCCTTTGCATTTTTTTTTAACTTTATAAAAATATTTTTTTATTTTCACAACTTGCTCTTTTCATTCAATATCTTGTTAGCTCATCTCTGTTGATAAATGTAGCTATAGTTATTTGTTGTGTAGTAGGCCATAGTATGAGTATAAAAGAACTTATTTACCCAATCTCCTGATGACAGATTTTTGCATTTTTTGTTATTACAAAACCCCAATGCTTTGTTATTACAAACAATGCCCACAGAACATTTTTATAACACTCTTGTGGTTCACATGTGCAACAATGGACTAAAATCATTGTGGCCTAAAATCTGCTAAATAATACTAGATTATTTCTAACAGGCTATAATAATCAACCACACTCTGAGAAGCAGTGTATATAAGAATTCCAGTTTAGTCACATCCTTGCCAACGTTTGGTATAATTTGTCAAGTAAGTGAGTGAATAATGGCATCTTATTGTGCTTTCATTCAGTTTTAGGACGGACTTTACTATTTCTACTTTGAATTAAAGTTTTTATTATAAATAGATAAATTTGTTTATACCAAAATGAGATGTTTTTTCTCCTATAATTTCATAGTTGTTGTGAGTCACATTAATTAGTATTTCTAATATTAAGCCATCATTAAATTTAAGGAGTAAAATAAGCTTGGTTGTGATGTAATTATCTATTTTGTACACAGCTGGAATTGTTTTACTATGGTTTGTTTAGGATTTTTTCACCTATGTTCATGAATGGGGTTAATCTATAATTTTTCAGTCCTATATTGGCCATGTTGAATTTTGATGTGGTCAGGATCACCTTTTTCCATTATCTGATTCTAGAAAGTTGTGTAGAAATCTCCTGGAAAGCCATTTGAGTTTTGTGGTTTTTGAGGAAGATTTTTAACTACTGATAGAATTTCTTTAACAACTATAGGACTACTCATGCTTTCTATATCTTCATAAGTTATATTTTTCTAGAAATTTACTTAAGTGTTCAAATTTGTTGAAATAAAGTTGTTTATTTATTATCTTATTTTGGAATTCCAATTAAATGTATGTGGTCATTGTCATTATATTCTCAATGTCTCTTAAGCTTTGTTTCATATTTTTTATGTCTCTTTCTGTCCTGAATTATATATATTTTTATTTCAGATCTACCTTCCAGTCTTTCTTTCTCCACATGTGTCTAATCTACTGTTTAACATTTCTATTGGTATCTTCATTTCAGTGATTATACTGTTCAATTCCAGGAGTTCTATTCAGTTGGATTTCATAACTTCTTATTTTTATAGCTTCTTATTCTTTGCTCATCATTCTATTTCTTCCTTTATTTCTTTACCCATAATTATTTTATATTCTGTATCTGTTATTTGAAGTCTTTATGGCCTAGTATTACTATTTGTTGTTTCTGCTGATTCATCCTCATGATGTCTTAATTCTCCTGTTTTTTAATTTTTTTTTTTTTTTTTTTTGAGCTCATGTACATTGGAACTTCCTATGTAAGAAGTTTTTGGAGCCTGAACCTGGGTTGAGTGTGATTTTGTTTGCCTCTACTGGATGGCTGGGATACTATCACCTAGGATAAATTTTAAATTCTTAGATTGCAGGGACTTTTTTTTTTTTTAATGCACAGTTACTGTATATGTGGACCCAAAACCTGATTACAAATTCTCATGTAAAAAATGAGGTTTTTTCCCTTTATTTTCATTGCTTTTGAAATTCCCTCTATTCATAGCCTTAGCTAAGATATATTTGTTTTTTTTATTCAGCAGTATTTCCTCTTCCATTCACCCTTTTTCTTAGAATTGCCCTTTCTTATTCCTTTCTTTATGCTGGTCTCCAACAAAACTTCTCCCTTCATAGACCCAAGTCTTTGACTCCCTTTTCCAGTATGCAGTAATCTTTTAATAATGTTCAAGCTCTATCCAGCTGGAGACTTTGGGATAGCCCAGGGTAGCCAACAGCTACAGGATTTGCTCACCTTCCTTCATCTTTTTGGAAGGCATTCAAAAATTTTAAAAAGTAGTTTTGCTATTTTCACGTGGAAGTGTTTCAGGATGTATAGACTCTCGGACTGCTAAATGTAAATGTCTCTCATTCAACATTTTAAAAAAATTAACACTGCATCCAACTTGCCCAATTTCAAGGACAATGACAAAAAAGAAATAAGATGAATGAAAGTAAGTAAAACCATGTGTTCAATATGGTATTTCATTTTTTTGTTTTGTTTTGTTTTGTATTGTGATTTATTTACAAAATTTCACCACATAATAGTAATCACTTTTTTAAAAAAAATCAGTACCAGTCCTATAAAGGCTATTAGGATAAATTCTTAAGCCTACAAAAATTGCCTTAGTACCAATGTTCCCAGGCATATTATTGTTACCTAAAATCTGACTCCAAAGCCCACATGTAGTTTCTGATTATACACAGTCAATTTGAAGTACAATCTAATTAGACTGACAGGGGACAGTGGAGGACCCAAGCACTTTTATCAACTTCTATAAGAGGTGTATGTTAGCCTACTGGTTACATCCCTCTAGCTGTACCCCACCATTTATTTATAATGGGACTACTGAGTTGCCCCATTATGATAAAATATGATCACTTTGGAAAAACCAAGGCATTATCTAGACAACCTAGACTCTTCAATGGGGTAAGTAAAAAGTGGCTATCAGTAGTCAAAAATAGTTTCATTTCTTTGAAGTTTTTCCTTTTCTGGACTCCTTGTCTTTTTCTTATTTTGAAGGCTTTGAAGATTTTGTCTTTTTCTTGATCAGTGCATCAGTTTCCATAGACTCTTGGTCTTTCTCATCAGATTGAGAATCATCTTCATTTAACTCTTCATTGTATTCAGAATCCAGTCTCTGGTTTGTCAGGAACTGGGATATAGCTACATGGAACTGAATGCAAGTGACATTCAGAGTAAAAACAGTTTGAAGGAGATTGTTGCTGAATCACTGAATAATACCAGCATCACGGGCTTTTATTCAACTTCTCAACACAGGTCAGGTAGAGCAGCCCATTCAGTAAGCACGAAACTTGCTCTCATCATGGATGAAGTAGATGGTATGGTAGGCAATGAGGACAGGGGAGGAATTGAGGAATTAACTGGTCTGATAAAACATAAAAAAATTCCCATTATTTGTATGTGCAATGATAGAAATCATCCCAAGATTCACTCTTTGGTTCATTATTGTTTTGATCTTAGTTTTCAAAGACCTCGAGTTGAACAGCTTAAGGGTGCTATGATGTCTATTGCACTTAAAGAGGGTTTGAAGAGCCCCGCCTCCAGCTATGAATGAAATAATTTGGGGAGCTAATCAAGATATCAGACAGGTTTTACACAATGTGAGGATGTGGTGTCCACGAAGTAAGGCACTAACCTATGACCAGGCCAAGGCTGATTCTCACAGAACCAAAAAGGATATGAGACTGGGCCCATTTGATGTTGCCTGGAAAGTGTTTGCAGCTGGAGAGGAGACCACTCATGTCACTTGTGGACAAGTCAGATCTCTTTTTTCATGATTATTCAATAGCACCCCTATTTGTCCAGGAGAACGACATACATGTGAAGCCTGTAGCTGCAGGGGGTGACATGAAAAAGCACCTGATGCTTTTAAGCAGAGCAGCAGATGGCCTATGTGATGGTGATCTAGTGGACCATCAGATCCAGAGTAAGCAAAACTGGAGTCTTCTGCCCACACAGGCCATTTATGCCAGTGTTCTTCCTGGAGAGTTAATGAGGGGGTACATGACCCAGTTTCTTACCTTCCCAAGCTGGTTGGGGAAGCACTCATCTATTAGCAAACATTATCATATTGTACAGGACCTAGCACTTCACATGAGTCTCAGAACTGATTCCAGCAAAAGGACTGTAAATGTGGATTATCTGTCACATATAAGGGATGCAGTTGTACAGCCCTTGACCTCACAAGGGGTAGAAGGAGTGCAGGATGTTATTGCTCTTATGGAATCCTACTACTTGATGAAAGAAGACTTTGAGAATATCATGGAAATTAGCAGCTGGGGAGGCAAACCTAGTCCCTTCTCCAAGCTGGATCCCAAGGTGAAAGTAGCCTTCACAAGAACTTATAGTAACACTGGGTGTAATACACAAACAATGAATCATGGAACACTACATCAAAAACTAATGATGTGTTGTATGGTGACTAACATACCATAATAAAAAAATAAATAAAACAAAAAAAACAAAAAACAAAATAAGAACTTACAATAAGGAAGTCTACCTTACTCCATATTTACTTCAAGCAATAAAGACACCCAGACATAGCACAGGCACAGCACTGGCATTTCATTTTTTTAAA